TGATGGTTTCAAATCTCTATATTACGACCTTATTCATAAAAATATTGAATGTTTTTTTGGTTTTAAGATAACTGGATATCTAATATTTTGATAAATATCGAATTGTTAGTAATAAAAATTCAGTTTTATATCCATGATTAGATGCAAACGTCGTGATTATTACTCTCAGGCTTCTTACCGAAAATATGCGGAAAATTTTAAGGTCTACCAAAAATCAAACATGGAGATGTCTAGAATTACAGTTTATAAAATGACCTATTTTACACATTTTAATTTCACGTTCATTTCAAAAGTAATTCGCATGGGCTACTCAGAAACAATGGTACCGCCAAATACCCAGATATCGGTACTGGCTACCAATGGATGTGAATACAAGGGTGAAACATATAAGCCAAAGTTTTTTTCTCAAAATGAATTTATTGATTTTAGAGAATACATGGGTTACTGAGCTTTAAAAAATCGATTTTTTTGTTGTCTTGTTTAATTCTATAACATAACAATGTCCTAAATTTTCAAATTGATCCGAGTAATAGTTTTGGATACACAGATTTGAAAAGTTGCGCCCTAGAGGTTAGCTATACAGTCACTTAATACTTTAAACGCATTTTTCCCGAAACTGTGTTTTTAAAATCGGTTGTCAAGATTTCTCGTGAACTACTCAACCGACTTTAATAAAATTTTTCACAAATTTTATTTTTTTATTTAAAAAAAACTTTTATTGGAAATAGGATAGAACGTTTTTATTAGAGGATACTCATTTACCCTTAATACGTGATCAAGTTATGGAAAAGCTGAAAGGTGGAATATTTGATACAGCAATTACTGAGAGATTTAGATTAGTGGAAAAGTTTTGTGTTGATTGTCGAAAACTTCCTAGGTAACTATTAAGTAATAAAGAAATTGTGCAAAATATGCCGGAAAACTGGCAGATTTTAGGAACAAATTTGAGTATCAAGTTAGACCATCATCTAGATAAATTTTAGAATAATTTTGGAAGTTATAGTGAGGAACGGAAAGAGCGGTTTAACCAGGCTCTAAAAGTGATGGAAGAATGGTATCAAGGTTGTTAAGATCGTCATATGATGATAGATTACTGCTAGTCCTTCAAAAGATGTTTCAACCTGAAACATTATAAAAGAGAAGTTCATAAAAGGCGTTGTATTTAAATATCACAAATGAACTGTGGGCACAAGTATATCCAAAATCGATCTTGTATCTAGGGCAACAAAACCACTGTTCGGAAACACGAAACCGATGCATGAGGAGAGGTAGGGAGCATCTACATATATGTCGGCCGCCCTCAGTATAGCCTTGTTCAGGTTCTAATATACCAACTGATTACTTAAAACAATTTTTAATAAAATATGCCTTCAATTTATACTTGTATACCGACAGTAATGCGATGTGACAGAACTTTTATGACTGTTTGTAGCAAGGATGTCTACCGTAACATATATATAGTATACTTGTACGAGTATACTTTCATGTGCATTGTTGTATCGAATTCAGTGTAATTCCACTTGTACATACAAATAATTATGCAACTCTGTTACTTATCTTTGTTGCGGTTTTAAGGAAAAGGAAATATTTACCATGATTTATGGCGTTCATTACTAAGTAAGACGTCATTCTGTATGAATACATAACATTATAACTTATCTGCAATTAGCAGGATCCATAAATGCATGCCGCAAGCAGCGTATGGCTTTGCGTAAAGCTTTTGCTGCTTAGTGAACAACTTTCATGAAATTAACTTTGCATTGCCACACATGAAAACTTTCACACATACATGTGTATGTCGCATAAATGAGTTATCCTTGTGATAGTTGGTGCAAGTTCGGTTGATTATTCAGGTCTAATTAAAGTTCAGGGCGATAGGCAGACAATTGGGAAGTGTTTGAAGAGTCGTTGACATTTATTATACGTCGGCATAAAGAATATTCGCTGTAAATACTGATAATAACCGTGGTTATATTTGTACATACATATGTATGTATGAGTATATTATCACCTAAAATGGAAAATAATGTAAGAATACTTTTTATAAATTTACAGGAGTAAAAAATACCAAGAATAAGTATAGTTTTAAAAAACTAAAAAACACGCTTTTAAATCACTTCAAACTAAAAAGTGAAAAATAATTCCTTATATAAACTGACAGAAATATTCACCGAAAAATATTTGTAATGATATATATTGTGTGAAAAGTGTGATGTGCTCGATATACGAAAAATATAGCACAAGCCATCCCATCTAGTAGCTGCTTTTAGCTTCATAGTTTTATAGTCGTTGTACGATTTCGTCCATTTTCAAAGTGTGTGATAGGAATGGCTGGGTAACCTCACATACCAAATTTGGTTGACATTAGTTTCTGAGATATAGGATTTCACCTAAAGGTTGGTATACATACCAAATTTGGTTGACATTTGTTTCTAAGATATAGGATTTCACCTAAAGATTGGTATGCCACGCCCATTTCAAAATTTTTAGACTTCCTCCTATAAAGCTCTTTCCTACCATCTTGTTTGCGAAATTTAATAATTATGGCGCATTTATTTCGTCAGTTATTGCACTTTTAGTATATTTTAACATAACTGTTATACTTGCATGGGGTGTAGGCGTGGTTATTTATTGATTTTGCCCATTTTTACAGCGTATGAAAAAGGGCTGAAAGGACTTCCTCTTAGCAAATTTGGTTAATTTGGCTTTAGCGGTTTGAAAGATATATGCATTAAACAAATTAGGGGGTGGGGCTACGCACACCTTTAAAGTAATGGGAAACTGTTATCAAATTATTGCATTTTCATCGGTCCTTGACACGTCTGCAAAGTTTTAAGTTGATCAGACTTCTGGAAACCGGTGAAAATTGAGCTCTAAGAAAAAGTACCCTACAAGGTTCCTTACAAGAACGTCCTCGTCAAATAAAAAAGTTTTCCTTGCAAGTACTTTATTCCGATAGTTCAGTTATAGGCAGCTATATGCTTTAGTGATCCGATATAGGCTGTTCCGACACATGAGCAGCTTCTTGTTGAGAAAAATACGTGTGCAAAATTTCAAGATCGATAGCTTGTATTAACTGAGGGACTAGTTCATATATAATATATACAGACAGACATACGGACAGACAGACGGGCATGGCTAAATCAACTCAGCTGATCATACTGATCATTTATGTACATATTTTATAGAATCTCCGACGTTTCCTCCTGGATGCTACAAACGAAAACTTAATACACCCTGTTCAGGGCATAACATCGATATAATATAGAAACTAACATATTCATATTGAAACAAAATTAGAAATTTTGTTATAAATTGGTTATAAAACTCTGTTTCCAATTTTTTGACAATACGTTGTTTTTAATTTTAATTGACGATAAGTATGTTTATATGATTAATACAAATATCTCCTGTCTGTGTCTCCAGAATTCATAATTACATGTATCTAGAATACAAATCAATATTTAAAAACAAGTAAGGAAGGGCTAAGTTCGGATGTAATCGAACATTTTATACTCTCGCAAAGTCAAATGGTATACTCGTTTGAAATTTCTTTGTGGATTGACTGATATTTTCGGTAGAAGGTCAACTATAGGCAATGGGGTCCACGTATTATTCACACAAAGTTTATCCCGATATAATCATTGTTGCTTGATATGCATAGTGGAAAGTGAAAGAATCAGATGGAATTGAAAATGTGTTATATGGGAAATAGGCGTGGTTGTAGTCCGATTTCGCCTATTTTCGCACTATAACATCGAAATATGAGAATAATGTTATATACTATATAATGAAAAGCTGATAATTTAACAATTAAGCTCAGAAATCCATAAAAATTCCATACCACTTCAACTTAAAATATCTGTATCTCAAAGAGTATTAATATTATCGATTTGGTGCCAAAGAATTTTTTGTAGGAAATTAAATTTCCTACAATTTTGTTATTTTTATTTTTTCTGTAGCTAGTGTTGTTTACGAGATAATTCCAAAAAAACGCGAATTTCATGGAAAAATTAGGTTTGGTAGCCGTACTACCCCGCAGGTGCAAGTTATAACTTTACCGCAATGGAGATTTTTGTAGAGCGTTCAATTCTGAGGAATACCTAATGACGGGTGAGATAAACCCATCAACTGCCGCTGAGTTATAAAATTAAAAAGAAAAAAAAATCAAGTTTTACGTGTATTTTATATGGGAAATCTTTACAGGCCTAGGTCTAGTACTTAATATTAAAATTAAAGTCTCAAATTTTTAGGGAATTTTTTTTTTTGGTATTTCCAACAAAATTACACCATGGGATCGAAAAAAAAAATAGTTCAAAAAAAAAAGCACTCTAATGTGCATATTAAACTTATTAGGGAGCGGGACCACGCCCATTTAAAAAAAAAGTTTTTAAATGCAGATGTCCGTCTCTAATGTGATCCCGTATGCCAAATAACAGTCTTGTATCTTATTGTGGAGCTTAGTTATGGCAATTTGTTTATTTTAATGGCGTTTTGTGAGCGTGTCAGTGGTCCGATTATCTGCCCATCTGCAATACCAACCGTCTCACGGTACCAAGAAACATGTATACCAAGTTTCATAAAGATATCTTAATTTTTACTCAAGTTACAGCATGCACGGGCGGACGGACGGACAGACACCGGACTTCAACTCGTCTCTTCATCCTGATCATTTATATATATTGTACATAACACTTTATCTAACTCGATTAGCTTTAGATGATACAAACAACCGTAAGGTGAACAAAACTATTATACTCTGTAGCAACAGGTTGCGAGATAAATGTAAGTAAGAAATGTATCATGTTTTCATTAAATAGCAAATAAATATACATATACAGGAACAACACCGTTACAGGGACTATCACAGAACTACTGTGGGGTAGTATGGTTAGTGCATAGTACAAAAAAGCTTTTACCTTTACACAAAAGGAACTCCGTACTATCCTAAAGATAAACGCACTGAAATTCTGTTTTAATTTATTTCTCAAACTAATTAAGGAAGAATAGACATAATGTCGGACATGTGCTGAGACTGAGAAAACATTAGAACTTTGACTTCGGAAATGGCCAGCTTCCAGCCGGTTGAGACAGGATACCTACCGTTGTGCTTAATACATATTCTAAGTTAAAGAAAATTGGGCTGAAATGATGAAACAAACACAAATATATTAAATCTAGCGGGTTGTTGAAAAATACTCACTGGATCGCTTGCGAAGCCGCAATCCCTCTTTGTAGTGGTAACATGATAATGCAAGGCAGTTGTATTTAAAGCCACAGCTTTATCTTTAACTTATTTCTCAACAGAACAGTTTTAGAATCTCTAAGGAGTTTTTGTAGTTGAAATGAAGTCTAAATATTTTCTTCCTGCGTCGCGAGCCACATACATTAGAAAATCATAACACTATTTTTGTTGAATTTATCACCAGGTTACGATAACTCTTTGAACCTTGACATTGCCCGCTCATTGTCCGCATATGAAATTTAATACAAATTCAAATTAATTAAATTGATTGAGGCAATCTACTCAAGTAATGTTTTTGAACACTGGGGAATTATAGCGTCTTTATATTCGCTGCAAACTAGCTACATACAAACTTAATATGCTTGAAAAATTGATTTTATACACGCCTTTGGAGAGCTACCAATTAATGCTCGACGTATGTTTTAATTACGTATGGTGTTGATGCCAAGGCTTTAGGGCAATACAAGTTCCAGCAAAAAAGTTAAACATGTCATTTCACATAAATACATACAAGTATATAACTGAAAAATAATTCGCGCACACACATATTCAAGTTTGAATGTAAGCTTAATTGTATACATATACATACATATTTAGCAATTTTAGCGCAAACTTTCGCTGATGCTGCAAACAAGAACCAGCAAAAGTAGCCAACAAGCATTGAGCGCATGAAACAATTTGCTGCAAATGTGCAAAGTTGAATAAATGAGTGTAATTTTTAATTTGTTTTGTAATTACCCGCATTTCGTTTGCATTTCTCTCGTTTTGTTTGTTGCTTCTGTGTGCTGTATGCGCGGTAGTTAGCTAGTACTTATGAATCCGTTTTGTTGCCATCCTTCCCAGCTGTTCAAGTCAATTCACAGACGCGTGACATTGAGAAATGCCAATTTGCGCAACGCCGCCAATACTTTTTGTACTTTCGTTTTAATTGCACAGACGGAGTTGTGAAGTGGCAGAAGCTTTACTGAAACTACAGTTCGATCGAACAGCAACAGCTTTTGTTGAGTATAGATCTTCTGCTGCTATTCTTCCTCAATATTTTAAGGGGTTAGGGCAGTCTGGCGGTCTAAATTATCAAATAACATGATCATTTAATATGGAAATTAGAAAAAGCGAAATCTCTTAAGCGTTTTACATTTATTTTTGTATGAAAAAAAATTTGAATTGGCATTTTGATAAAATTAATGACTTCTACTTGGCAAGTCTTCAGAATGATATTTTTCAAGAGGGCTTCTTTGAGTGATCTCGTGCTATCTGCTAGTAAAGTACGAAACTTTTTTTACCGAAACAGTTAGCAGCAAATTGTTTGTATTGTATATACATACATAACACATGACATTGTTCCTGCGAAGCTGCGGTTCAAATTCCAAATGAATACGAAAGATAGTCTTCGTGTATTATCGCTGTCCGATTCGAAAAATGGAGCTCCGAGAAAAGCTTATTTAAAGTTTTAAAAGGCGAAAGGGACACATCCGAACGCTTCGGCAAAGCAGCGAATTCAAGGAAAAACATTTCTTGCCACAATTTAACAAATGTTTTTAATACCTTAAGTGTTATTTAAGCCAAAAAATCTAATATAATATATGTACATACTTAGGTATACTTTGTTTTTTATACCCTGAGCTGCGTTTATTAAATATGCCACAACGTTTGTAACAAATAAAAAATATATACCATATATATTTGATCAGTATGAAGAGCTGAGTTCATTTAGCCATATCCATCTGTCTGTCCGTCTGTCTGTATATATACAAACTAGTCCCTCAGTTTTAAAGATCTGAAATTTTGCACACGTCTTTTTCTCCCCAAGTTGCTGTTAATTTGTTGGAACCGCCGATAACGGCCCACTATAGCATGTAGCTGCCTTACAAACTGAATGAACAGAATCAAGTGCTTGTATGGGAACTTTTTCATTTGAAGAGATATCAACGAAATTTGGCATTGAACTGATCTCTTATATTTGGGAAGGGTACTGTAGCTTCAGTTATTGTTTTTTTTTTAAACTGGCCACACCCCTTAAGCGTATTGGCAGTTGTTAGCTTGCGTACAGTATGGGAGTGTACTGCTGTATTGCTACAAAGTGTTTTAATTACACTTAGGACTTAAATCGACAATAGGCGAATGAAAATGTTTCTCGCAAACACACAGATATGGAAATATACATACAAACATTCAGAAAAGTTTTTCTTTGGCGGAAACTTTTAAAATTCAATAAAATACATGTATATGTGGTAAAATTTTTTTTATAAACGTTCTCTATTGCAATATTTTCTATTTAATTTTGCGAGAAAACGATTCCATTTTCAAAAATAGACAAACAAAATCCGGGTGAGTACGACTACGCTTACATATGTATATATGTATGTCATATCATATATACACAAGTCCTACCTCAGTAACTGCAACTGCACTCTTTGTTAAATATGAGAGTTTAGAAAAGTTTGACAGTTGAATGGCAACTACGAATATTCTATATTACTGAGTAGTAGCGAACTGAGAAGTATTTTTTTGTTGGCTGTTACTATCTTTTAAATTGATATCCTTTGTCTGATTTTCCTTTTGCTGCTTTGACAAATGTCTGCAATTTGCTTAGTTGCTTTTGAAGAGATATGGTATTATTTACCATACATTTCAAGGCGGTGCATTTCGGCTACTTGAAATTCAAACGACCATGCAGCTCGCCACAGTTTTTGAATATGGTGTGTTTTTAAGTAAGGAATATGAGAATTTTAACAGTATGCCATATTAATATATTGAAGTTGAATTTGGAATTTTCCTACACTAAACTAATACTAGAAATAAATTCAATCATTGATACTTTTAAATAACTTTTGCTAATAAAGTTTCGAGTTACATGTTATTTTTGTTTCTTGTAGGTTGATCAACTTGTAGGTTCATGTTACTGCCGAACATCTGTTCAATTTTTACGCGAATCCTGTTGATACCATTGGCATCAAAAGGCGATTCATACCTTCGGCCTACCGACTACCACTCGACCTTTCTTATAGCTAAATCTTGGAAATATTAATTAAAGTAAAAATATGAATATGTTAATGCCGGCTGCTTACTCACTTTTTTACTGAAAACTTTCATAAATGCTGCGACAATTTGTGAAAATATCAGCAAAGGTTAGACCACATATCTAAAGTGTTAAAAAACAAGAAAATACGTTAACATTGGCTACTTTGAAGCTATAATCGATCGATATCTTCAAAAATAAATGACTAGTTCGCGTATATACAAACAGACGTGCATGACTAACTCGACTCAACTCGTCACGCTGATCATTTATACCTAACTCTGCTCTTTCACGGTAAATTGGGTCCGGAATAAGCGTGTAAAAAATACATTGATCGTATGCAAAAATATGTGATTGGTTCCTTATCTTTAAAACCTATTAAATTAGTAATAAACCAGGATTTTTTAGGAACAAGTATTAATGTTTATTTTATTAGATCACATAGATAGATAGATTTTAAAATGAGGTATGTATGGCGACCTATTAAATCACTTATATGGTATAATATGTATTTACGCAAGCATAGTTATTAAAATAATATATATGCACTCTAAGCTTAAAAGTAAATTTGAAAATTGTTTTAACATGCTCGTCCGATTGCATGATAGTTCACAAAATATTAACACATTTCAAACTCGCTTGTACGTACAAAAAGGTAGTTCCCTTAATTTTGTGCTATTTACAGTTGCTCTAACCAGGAAACTTGCTTGTTTCCACAAATCGGAATTCCTTCAAATTTGTGATGTTAACATATTTCACAAAAAATAAATCTGACAAATAGAATATAAGAAAAAATTTTGAATGGTGCTAAATAGAATTAAATCGTGTAAAAAATTTTATTTCTATATACTTGTGAGGGTTTCCGAGATTTTTTTTTGAATTTCATAAAAACTCCCTGTATATTTGCCGATAAATGCAGTATAATGTCATTTTAGACCTCACAGATTGACCGGTATATTCGGTAAAATATTCGCCATATGCACTGGAGTCCACATATTTAGTGTCTAGGTCCGTGAAAACTTATAAAGCGATTCCTACAATTTTTGGGTGTGAGATTAAATACGTTGAGGGCACTATTTGCGCAAAGTTTTACCCTGATAACTTCATTAATGTTTAATTTGTATAATTTTAAGCGAAAAAATCAGCTTTAAAAGGTTGTTATATGAACAGTAGGCGTGGTTGTCAGCCGATATCACAGTGAATGATAGAAATACCTGGGTGACCTTACACAACAAATTAAATTGAAATTGGTCAAGTAGTTCTTGGGATATAGGATTTCACCTTCAGGTGGGCGGTGCCACACCCTATGTCCAATTTTTACAACTGCTCCAATAAAGCCCATCATCATTGTTTTGAAAATTAACGCTTCTGGGTTTTTTTTAATTGCGTAAAGTTGATAGTTTTCAGCGTAACCATTGTATGGGGAAGGGATGTGGTTATTATACTAGGTTAGGTTAGGTTAGTCTGGTATGCTAATTGGCCACGCATAGACCAGTTTTGGTCCTTTGCGGTACCAGGTGGAGTTTAGTTACTAAGCCCTTGAAGAGTAGTCATCTTTTAGCATTTGAGGATAGCTCTGGGACTTCGTAATAGCCAAGTCCTCTACTTGAAAAATACTGCACTGGTCCGGCAACTTAAAAGGTTGCCTTATGCTTAACTCTGGACAGTACATACCTGCACCAACTCAATCCTCCATTTTTGAGCCATCCGTATAAATGTTTCGTGTGTTGCGCGCAGCTAACATACATACCTTTACGACAAGATGGGTGACTGTATTTACTCTGAACCTACTTTCCCGATTTAAAAGTGGAATCATGTAGACGGTGCTTGCCAAACCGCCAGCCGAGCTATGCCCAAAGGTTCTATATGTAAACTCTCCTGCAGCCAGTAGTCGCCCCGCCGATTTTGCTGCGCAGTTTTCAGTGAAGAGGTCTGCAGGTGGCAGGTTTAGTACTAGTTCAAGAGCCATCGTTGGAATGGTTCTTAAAGCGTTATACACAGCGCAGCGAGCCGATGGAGCCACCGATATTGGGCTTACGATAGCTGTGTAACACCAGTGCATGAGAGAGGGAGAAAACCCCAGGTTGTGTCGATCATTTGCCTACACGCATATAAAGCATTGCTGGCATTTCTCACTATTAATTCCACATTGTACTCCCACAGTCATTTGCCCTCTATTTGAGAGAGAGTTGTGTTCCATTTATCGAAGGAAGCTTCCATGGAAGGATTTTGTATTTTCTTGTGAACACAAGCATATCCGTTTTCTCCCGATTTAACCCCAGTCCGGCTAACGATGCCCAATTCTGGACTGTATTGAGAGTGGTGGTCATAATACTGCTAATGGTGGGTAGACACCAACTCACTATCTTATCGCTAATGTTTATAGGAGCGGAGATGGCACTCCACCTTGCGGAGTGCCTCTATAGACTTTCATGGTCATTCTTGCATCGTTACATCCTGCTCTTATCCTTCTAGATATAAAGAGGCTTCTGATCCAACGTTGTATAGCCAACAACTACCGCCTGGATACTATTCAAAATAGATTCCGTAGAAACATTGTTGAATGCTCCAGAAATGTTCAGGAATGCTCCAAGAGCATATTCCATATATTCAAGAGTACTTTCGATTTTAAATACCAGTGTATGGAGTACAGTCTCTACCGATCTGCCTTTTATGTATGCGTGTTGCGCTTTAGACAAGCTTCCAGCAGCCGTTGCGGCCCTGATGTACACGTCCAAGATTTTCTCTAACGTTTCCAGATGGAAGGAAGTTAAGCTTATAGGCCTAAACTCTTTCGAGTAAGTTACGTTGTTTCTACCTGCCTTTGGTATGAAAACTATCCTAGTTTCTCTCCATGAGTGTATGGATAGACAAAGTGCATTCTACAGCATGGCTGAAATGAATCCATCGAATTCTTCGTAATCATATTTTCGGAGAAGTTTACAGCACTATTCCCTTCATAGTTACGACTTACTGCGGCCTTACTGCCAGAAAAAAGCACACTGACTAACTCCTCCAATGAGTCCTCACAGTTATCAGGTCATTCCTCAAAACTTTTGCGAATTAGATCAAGCTAGGCGGGCTTTTGGATAATAATTTAATGCGCCTCGGCACCGTGTTAGTCTTTTCAAATCTGCTACAAAAGGTCTTCCAGGATCCAGTTTTGTTCAG